CCCCAAAACCCCAAAACCCCAAAACCCCAAAACCCCAAAAATTAGATTCAAAATTGATAAGTTTATTAAAAATGGACAAGCTCTTAGCATATTCAGACGACTCGTCAGAAGATCAGCTCAAGGAGTAAGCTACCACCCTTAACCTTCTTTAGCACCAAGCCTAAGGATCAAAAGCAAGACAATGCCACTTCGGTTGATCCAAAAGCTGCCCAAAATAATGAAGAATTCCAAGATCTGAATGACTTGATCAATGAAGAAGGGCTTGGCATTGACCACGACCTTGACATCTCTGACCTCCAAAAGGCCCAAATGAACAGAAAGAAGAATAAGTTCTACACTAGTAATGAAGTGTCGACCAGGAAGAACCATACATCTGGTCATGTAGAAGAGTACCACCTCAGCTCAGCCAAATTCGATGAGCAGTTTTACACATTCGAAAACTTTGGGCATGCCCAAGACCCAACGATCAACAGAGGAGGAGGCACAGTCAATGCTGAAGGATACAGAAAAGTTGACTACCAAAAGGATGCCCATGGTCCTAAGTCTAAAACAACCATTGATTATAAAAAGGAGCTCAGGAAATAAGAGGAAAAGAGAAGGTGAAGCAGGCCAAGAAGATTTCCTCGGTCCATGGGCTTTCTACCAAGGAGAAGAAGACTTCAGAGAGCAGAAAGTAATTAAGACAGAATTACAGAAGAAGACTGAAGAGACTCATGAAAATAGACGCCAAGAAAAGTTAGAAGAGAAGCAAAGAGAAGAAGCTTTAGAGTACCAACAGAAAGTTGAGTCTGAAGAAGAGGAGGAAAAAGAAGTTGAAGAAAAGCCTGCTGTAAGAAGTTATTCCATTCTACATCTTAAGAACAAAGGTGAGGAAGGAAAGTCTTTCCTTGCCCCTCCCTCTGGAATTGAGACAGGCTCTCATGAATGATTTATTCCAAAGAAATGGACACATACTTATTCAGGACACTCTAAAGGAGTGCAGTGCATAAAATTCTTTCCGAAATATGGTCACTATCTCTTTTCAGCATCTCATGATGGAAGAGTAAAACTTTGGGATGTCATGACTCATAAAAAGTGCGTGAGGACCTATATTGGTCATACTGAGTCTGTCAGAGACATTTCCCTGACTAACAATGGGAGACACTTTATATCAGCAGGGTATGATAAGTATGTCCAGCACTGGGACACAGAGTCTGGAAAAGTGATTCACTCTTACAATATCAAGAGTATTCCCTTCTGATGTACCTTTCATCCCTCTGGTGACCAACAAAATATTTTCCTTGTGGGAAGCCAGAACAAGAAGATTCTCCAGTTTGACTCAAGAACTGCTCAAGGTGTTCAGAAATATGAAGAGCATCTTGGAAGTATCAACACTGTCACCTTCGTTGAGGACTACAAAAGATTTGTGTCCACAGCTGATGACAAGAAGATCTTTGTGTGGGAGTTTGGAATCCCTATAGTCGTCAAGCATATCTCTGAACCAGATATGCATGCTATTCCTTCAGCCACATTACATCCCAATAGGAAGTACTTCGCCGGTCAATCCATGGACAACAAGGTTGTCATCTACGACTGCAAAGGAAGCTTTAAGATAAACAGGAAGAAAAAGTTTGCTGGGCATAAAAACGCAGGATATGCCTGTGGACTATCATTTAGTCCAAACGGACAATTCTTATCAAGTGGAGATTCAGACGGCAAGCTCTGGTTCTGGGATTGGAAGAGTGGAAGAAATTACAGAACAATCAAGGCTCATGACAAAGTCTGCATCGATGTTGCCTGGCATCCTATTGACCCAAGTAAAGTAGCTACATGCAGTTGGGATGGGACAATTAAAATTTGGGACTAATATATTCAATGTACTTAAATAAAAAAGGGGTTTTGGGGTTTTGGGGTTTTGGGG